TCTTCCTAGATTCAAGAAAGAATCAAGAAATTTAAAAAAAAACTAGTCGAAACTTCATTATTTAATTATTCAACTATTTCGTATACACATTTATACATTCTTTTTTTCAATTAAACACATATTTTCAAACATTTTCACGCAATTAATCGTAATCAAACTTCTCTTTTTCTCCCCTTCCATTTCAACGTCCACAAGAAGAATCAAGATGGCCGAACCATCTCGAATTCCAAGAATTATTATTTCGCCTCGCGCGAGAATTTTGATTCGACGCGTGGCCAGCCACCGCGTTCGCTATTATTTCAACGTCCTTTCCAATTTCTCTCGTTCCGAAATAAAATCGGAGGGAGGCCACAAAAGTGGCGGCCGAGCAGAAAAACGACTGGCACGAGTGCGGTTGAAGGGAAGAACGGAAGCAAATATTGTCGATGCATTTGGCGGCGAGGAGAAATAGAAAAGCGCGGCTAGGCGAGACCGAACGAGAAAAATCGTGGCTCGAGATACCGAAGCCCGAGAGAATCGAATTACGCGATCCGGGCCGGCATAAAATAAATAGACGAATATTCATTCCGTTCTGGCGACCGACCACTCCCTCCTCTGTTCCTTTCCGCTCGTTCTTCTCCTTTATTTTCACCCCTTGTCATCCGTGTCTCGTGTTAATTGATCGCTTGGATTAATGGCGGCTTCGACAACAGCCTGGTGAATTTTATATTTTTCCTCGCCCCCCCCCTTTTTTTTTTGCTCGATATTGGAATATTTTATCGATCTGGTGTTGTTTCTTCGTATTTGTTTGTAGAGTGGTGTTAATCCCTGTGTTCGTACGCTTTGTCATTCCTTTGCAATCTTTCTTCTGCTTCTTTGAGATCGACGGTGATGGAATGAGATTCAGCTTCGCTAATTCTTTAATAAATTATGATCGACCCGAGTCAGTTCTGTAATAACAATTGGTCACTACTTTCTCGGTATATCTCGCGAAACATTCTAGTTTCTACGTGAAATACAACGAGATAATATTTCACGTTAAATTATTATTATCATATCAATTCTAATTAATCAAAGTGTCTAAAAGAACGGTTAATGAAAATCAAGAACGAGTAGAAGGAAACGCAAAAGTGATCTCTAACTATCTCTAACCTCGGTTAACAGAAGGTAGAAAAGAAATTTCGAAAGCTTCTGCTTTCGTATTCGATCACACGATCAGAGCCACCGGTTTAATTACAATCAAGTTTCCCCTAATTTAAAATCTCCTCTCTCCCAAATCGAATATTCCCAATTTCCCAATTCTCGTCGCGCGCGGTTACGTCGTTTCAATTTTCCGCGTTTCCGTTTCGCTCACAATTCAACCGGATATCCGACATCCTCCCCTCCTCCTCCTCTCCTCCTCCTCCTTTCCCCCACTCTTTTTCCGCGAGATCCGCGCCACGAGTAATTCAAACGTCGGATACGGCGTTCGAAGGCGGCCGAGATTCGCCGCGATATCCGCTCTCTTTCCACACCCTCCACCCTCCCCTTGCTTCTAACTTCAAAATTGAAAATTCGCGTAACACTCTCCGCGTGTCACGTTCGCCCAAGATGCCATACTCGATCGGCGTGAATCGTAGCGTGAAAACTGTGTGCGAGAGAGAGAGAGAGGAGGAGAGAGAGAGTGGAAGGGGAAGTCACGTAGCGTGATGGTAAATTTCCGGCTCGAATTTTTCGAAATGGAAAAGTTTGGACGGAAGGATTCGAGGATCAAAATCGAATTAAATAATAACAGGATAGAATTTTGATGAAATTGGACAGCTGATAATGTTTCTTGAGGTTGAGAAAGAGGATAATTAAGAGGATAAATTTGCTTATATTGATGATATTCTTGATTTTTTGTTATTTTTGCTATATATATATATATATAATTAAATTTAATCTTTTGACAAGAGGTATAATTAAGAGTTTTAACTACTTAATCCAAATTAAATAGATCACTCTTGGCCAATAAGTTTCTAAATAAGTAAATGATCTCTCTAGATATCTGTAGGTATGGATCAAGAAATGATCATTTTTCAGAAATCAGAAGAAATCTCGTCTTAAATATTAGAATTTTAATTTTTTTTTTTTCCTACTCCTCCTCAGTGCTCCAATTTCCAAAGTCCAAATTCCAAATTGAAACCCGCCACCCCCTATTTCAAGATCTCATCAAAAACTTGGGCCGAACGATAACGCTGGAAATTTTATTGGATTTCTCGCGGAGAATTTCCATGCACCGATTTCTTTGCAGCCACGGTGCTGAACGGAGAAACATCGAGGATATCAGGGATAGGCGGGACGAAACCGAAACGAGCGGTTCAGCAGACAAAAACTGTAATCGAATCCTTCGCCTAGTTGCCGAACTCCCTTTTCCGGTCGCGCGACTCCACGAATTTTTTCTCTCTTTCTCTCTTTCTCTCTCTCTCTCTCTCTCTCTTCAGCCCCACGCACACACATCCCCGATCGCAATTTCGGGTGAATACCATTCGCTTGAACGATCTCGTTCCGATCGAATTAAAGAAGTTCGTGAATCGGCGATTAACGTTTCTCTCGGGTCAACGTTGCGAGCAACATCGCATCGAAAACAATTTGTGTAAAGGGGAATGAATATACGTTGAAAATTTTTAACAGCTCTCGACTTTGATTCTCAAAAGAGAAGATATTCTTAAGCAGAGATTATGAATAAAGAAAAACATCGTCTTGTGAAAATTTCATCAGAAATTGAATGTTGTATGCGCACACTTGATTTAATTGAATTTTACTTAATTGTAGCTTCGAGGTTGCAATGATTGTGATATCAAAATTTTTAATTTCAATTCCTGTTCAAACAATTTCGAAGAATTTAAGGAAAAATTAATTAATTCTTTTTTTTTAAGAACGGAATAGCTAGAATAATTTAAAATGAAATCCCTCCTTTTATACGATAGCTGGTAATTGTTTCATCCGAGATGTTCGATCGGCGAGAGTCATCGTTCGAAAATCACGCACGTATCTCGAGTTTTGTCGTTTTTCATCGTTCCGAGCCCACTTCTTCCCTATCATCGGTCCATCTAACCCCGTATCCCTCGGGAAATTTTAAACTCTCTCTCTACCCTTGGCTCGAGCAAAAGCTGTGCGGGTGGAGAAAGAGAGGGAGAATACGTCTTCCGGTTCATCCTCTGCATACTGATCAGAGGACGTGAATGGCTCCCTCTTGCAACTATTCTGTTCAACACTGTTCAGCAACCAATGATATTGTTGTTAATGTCGCGTTGAATTAATTTAACGAGAGGGTTACAATTATTTTCTACTCTTTTCTCATCATTGAAATTTCGAAGGAATTTGATGTAGATTCGTGCTTCGCATACAAGTTAGAAAAATTACTTTTTCTTCTATTTCAACGATATCATCTTAACATCATTCAAATCAATTTAATAAAAGTATTTATCCTTTCTCACAATGGAGTTAAGAAATTTTAAGAAAATTGTCTCAAATTTAAGGCAAAACAATATCGACAAAAGACATTCGCATTTAATTAACCATCAATCACTCGATATGAAGTGAAGTTTCACCATGAAGTAACCGCAAGAAATTGTAACGGATCAAATCGTGCAGCTTCTCGAGGAAGAGTCTTAAAAAAAAAAAACGCAGGGCGCAAATTAATGGCGGACGCAAGTGGAGTATTCTGTACTTCTTCCCTCGCGGCGTCTTCTGGCAACGGTTTGCCAGAAAGCCGGCAAAAAGTGGGGAAAAAATGTTAAGCGCGTGGAAGTAGCTACAGTTGATGGAAGTAATGGTCCTTGGGAAAAGGAAGCCGGGACTAAGGATCCTCTCTTAACGTTTAAAGGTCTATACGTTACCATATCTCTGGAACAGTAACATACTTTACCTCCAATCTATTATACCACCGCAACCGCCATTTTTGCCCGCCTTGGCCCCTTGAAATTTTCATCGATCACGGGAATTCCCTTATGCCACTGTTGTTCACTTTCAACTCGCGGGGAAACGCGACCGGCCAAATTTGTGGCATTGTTTAATCGGCTCTTTTCTTGGCGAATCTTGCCATTTTCTTTTTAGCAATTTAACGCTGAACAGGGAAGGGGAGAAATTTTTTATCCTGGAAATAAGCGTAAAGAAACGGAGAATAATGTTAAATTAATTTCAAGAAAGTATTGTACATGTATAAATATTTTTTAGATATATTTTTATTACGGAAAATTATCTTGAGAAATATTTGGTTATACAAATTCGACTCTTTTTTATAGGGAGTTGAGCAAGTTTAAAAAGAAAAAAATTGCAATCATCCTTGATCTAAATGTAAACGTTTTACGAAGGCATCGACGCGAGTGCCTCTTTATTTATCTCTCCTATAACATGCTCCCATAATACCAGGCTGACCTATCGAATCGAGTATTAAAGATACTCGTAAACTTACCCTCTTGAAACAGGGGACTCTCCTCGTGTGTCAGAATCGAGTCTGGAAAGCAGAATTTTTGCCACGTCGTAGTGTGATAAATTACATTATATTGCAATCTGCAATTATTTAATACATATGAAAAAAAAATTACGATAAAAACGTCGATATTAACATTAATTTTCCATAATAATAATAACTTATTCATCTGAAGAAGATCGAACGAAGAAAATTGTTTCTTTTATCTTAATAATAACGAGAACCAATTTTCCTTCTGTTACGTATTAACAGAATAACAGGAATATGGTTCAATATATTGTTAAAACTAATACATCTATGCGCTCACTTAATAATGAATTAAATTCACGTACAAAAATAACGCCCTCTTTCTTCCATTCCAACGTCTTAAATATTTATTTAACAAACTCAACAACCGTCGAATTCAATGGACATTCACAACGTTTCCCGATACCTTCCCTCGATACATTCAAAGCTGGCTCGATAACGAAACAAAAAGACACAGAGGCTAGAAAAAATCCAAAACAAGTAGTAGTCCGATGTTCGCAGAAAGAAACAAAGAAAGAAAAGGGGGAAAAAGAATAGAGAGAGGACAAAAATAGGAAAAAAGTTGGGCCAGCCGGCGGACGAAAATATCGTGCCACGTGTTACCCTGAAAAATTAATCGTTTCAGGAGTCCCCGGAGAGAGGCTGCGGCTTCCGCTCTTATTGCCACCTCGTTCCACGATAGTCGCAGCCAGTCCTCGAGGACGAGTTAAATTCTCGGTGAACGCATCGGCCTGCATGAAAATTAATGACAGGGGCGTGACGAGGGATGGTTCCAAGTAACCCTCCAACAGTGGCCAAGGTGATGACGACGATCCTCGCCTGTTTGCAACAAACACGCGATAATCCGCGATGGCTCGTTATCCGAGAGGCGAGTCGTAAGTCATACGTGTGTTGGTGTCCCTTGACGAGGGTTGCTTACGTGTTACAAAACCAACCCCCGAAGATCCGCTAAACGGCCGGAAACCGTGTCCATTTTCGGTCTACCCTTCGCCAGTTTTAAAGGCTTTTTTTTTAACCGGAGACAGGAAGCGCAGTTTATATTATACGATGCGTTGAATCCAAGTGCTGGAAAAGGCAATTTTCTCCTCTTTTCGTGGATTTCGAGAGGGTTGAAAGAAGATTGCCGGTGCGGATGGAGCGGAGTTAAAAAGAGTTGCACGTTTGCTTGGTATTTGAGATGGATAGTTGGTGAAGTAAATTTTGGGTGTGAAAATGTGTCAAAGGATGGACATAGAGAGGTATATGTAAGTAGATATTTTTAAGATAGCACGAAATAAAATGGATATAAGCAATAATTAATCAGAAATAAACGTATCTATTGCACGATTCATCTTAAAATTGAATTAAACTCTATTAAAATTAGGAAAACTTTGAATCGTTATAACTTCGAGGATAGTGACTTCCGGTCGATGAACGGAAGCTTATCACAAGCGCCAAACCTTCCCCTTTAAAACGCTTTTTGATTTATCTCGATACGACTTCCGGTTGCCGAGATATCGTCGTGTAAAGGAAAGAGTAATTTTTAATCGTTTAGTATCTTCGTCCTTGTCGCTTACTCGGAACTCTCGCTCGCGCCTCGTCTCACTGACCTATTCCAAACTGCAGACAAGTGTCAGACGCGATTCCTGGAAGAACGCGTAGTACGCGTTTCCAGGAAAAGAATGTAGGTCGGTGGATCGCGCGCCCATTCATAATTTCTACGCTGCGTTAACTGCGCTACGGACGCTTATATCTTGGCAACCGATTGAGATATCGGGATAAAACAAAAAGGAACTTCAATGGTATCGTTTCCAGTATTTTCTCAGTAGGTTTTGATGACGATATTCTTATTTTCTTTTTTGCCATTTTTACATGAAAAATCGAAATTTAATTTGACGATTGCAATGATTCGTGATGTGCAAAGTGTTTAGAGAGTTAAATTTATTTAATTTCACGTGTGTATATTCTATATTAAATAATATACAAATGATTTCTGTTGATATTAATATTATTCTGATATAATGATTACATTCAAATTCAGTCGCTGTACGTTCTTTAGAATTAAAATAGGTTTACGTGATTTGGAATTACGATCGAATTATAATCGCACGCTTTCGATAATTAACCAGGAGAAGGATCGATTCGAAGTAAAACTGTCTGAGAGCAAGATTCAAGGATTCAACGCCGGAAGACAGATCGGTCGGTTTGGAAGGACTTAGCAAACCGTACTTAGAATCGAGCCGAAATCAATATTGTCATGCATCTTGAACACGGCCAGCAAATCTGACTTGACTAAAACGATAACATTGATTAATTTGTCAAACCGGAAACGGAAGAAAATATTTTTCCAATTATTAATCCATAACTCTATTAAAATAATTTTACTTTCATTAAAAAATTAGAGAATGATATAAAAGATACAATTCCTTTTTTCTCTCACGTTGTGTAAGGGTATCTTCCTCTTTCTTCAAAAACACCGTCCTCGTCGTCCATTAATAAATATCATCCTCAAGATTCCAACAAAAATTGCATGGGCAAAAAGAAGGAACGCATTAAACAAATACAAGAATGAAGCAACGAGTCGTGAATAGATTGTAGCGATTAGAGATGCGGCTAACGGCCACTGCCAATCACCCGGAAGCCGCCAGCCGCATAGCAATTTCCTGTGGCCTCTGCTTGATCCCTGGGAGCGTCCTTTAGCCGCCTCGTGCCTCCACCGATAATCAAGCCCCAGAATCTGGAGACGTTTCTCGAGGTAAAGGTTGTCGCAGATCTCCTTTGCAGATTACGCCCATTGCTCGGAAACAATCACAACTAGAATCGTCTAATTGCATCGAAATTTCACCGCGATCGCCCTCCTGCGATTTTCTTCCTCCCTCCATCGTTTCTCGTCCCCTTCTTTTACCCTCTCATACGTTCTTACACGGAGGGCGAAACGATCCGCTCTTGATTCGAGTGCGTTTCTTGGTAGAAATTAGAAGGAAATATGGAAACTTCGTTAGAGATAGAAAATTGATGGGATGTAAGGATGTAAATATACTTGAATTCGAAGTATATTTAATTATTAGTCTGGTTTCTTATTTCTGGTTCTGGTTCGTTATTTTATTTCAATTTTTTGTTTCAAATATATTCGTATTTCAGTAGTAATATATTTCAGAGGATGTTTTTTTTTATACTTGCAAGATGTTTATTTAGAAAAGAATTTGAAGAATACATGCTTCAAATACATTTTTTTTTAATATAATTTTTTGAATGTTATGATTCAAGACTGCATATCCTTTTCATATAAAATGATTTTCGTAGAATATGATTTAAAAATAACATATACCTTATAACATAGTTTCCACAGAATTTAATAAATTTCATTTTTTCATGACACCGTTTTTATTGGTATATTTCATAAACAAATTCTTCAGATTTAATTAGATTTTTTAGGTATTTTAGATTTCACTTTACAACACGGAATGAATTAATCGCATTGCAAATTGGAAGGAAAATTGACTGTGTATATACGAAAATTTTTTTAATACAAAATTAAAACTTCTAAACCTCGTACTTAGATCAAATTAATTCGAGATCAAAATTAATTAATTTTCCACTCTCAGAGAGCCAAGAAGTCAATCCTAGTTCAATCTCTCAAAGCGGTTCCTGCACTCTAAATCAGTCTCAACCAAATCTAACGAAGCTGTGCAAGCTCCACTCAAAGAGATCCCTCGAAAAACTCCAGCAATTCCCTGAATATAGCGGTACTCGTACGAATATCTCTTTGACTCTCCATCTTCGCCATCTTTGCCGCGACACACGAGCAAGCGACATCATCGACTCCTCCAATCACTCATAAAATATTCGTTTTTCACGAGATATCTTTCGTTCCCTGTTTAAATATTCCAACCCCTCCTAAACCACCCCTTTTCGCGCTTTAATCAAGCAACCGTATCCTTGTCGTCGCTTTTACACCCGCATCGACACTCTCGAAACAAGTATGAATCCTCTGCAACACATCCTTTCCTCCAAGATATTTACGATCCTGTTCGTTTCGTCAAAAGAAACGAATTTCCAACCAAAGTTGCAATCCCCTTTTCACCGAATCATCCTCCCCTCTGTTTGCTGGACGATCTCTCGACATGATTCACGTCTCCACATTGCGGTAAACACATTGTAAAATGATATTTCCATTCGATAAGTTAAGTCGTACGGAGTTTTGATTTCATAGAAGTCTCTAAGTTGTGGAATGGTTTTAAGGAGATCTTCGAGGCAAATGGAAATATGATTATTTTAATTTATTTCTTTCTTTTTTTTTGGATTTATGATTGAAATAGAATGGATTAATGATATTTAATTCAATATGATATCAGAGTTTGTGAACGGAATTTGATAAAATATATTTTTTTTTCTCTTTAATTTTGTGATGTATTATTTTTTCATTGAGTAAATTTTACCTTCAACGGTTAAATATATAAGATAATGTTTAATGTGTGGTGAAATAAATAAATTGGGGAAATAAGGGAAAATTTTTTAATTAAAATTTGATTTGTATGAAAAATTTGTATGTGAAATGCATACATTAAATATGAAATGAATTTAATTCTCGTGTCGTTAAAGAATAATCAAGTCAAAGGGAACTTGATACATGATGAAAATTTTATTTATTCGAAAGCGAGATTTTATTTTTCATTTTTATTATAAAAAAATATTCAAGTTTGTAATGTATAATTATCATCACTTAACTTCTAGTTAGTAGGTTTAAACTATATGTTATTTGCACGATTCAAGAGTGCAACTTTTGATGAACCAAGTTGAAGAAGGTTCCATAAAATAATAAAAAATTTCCAAGCAAACATTACTGCAATCAGACTTTCTGAACATCTGTTACTTTTTCGAGTGACTTAAAGAAGTACTATCGTTTAATTCAAAGAAAATCAAAACGATTTTGCAAAGTAAACACAAATATTTATGTGGTTCCTTTTAATTTCTAATCATATTCGACAAACATTTAACAAAATTAAAATGATTTGGATACATCTTATTAGTTATGTCATCTTATTATAATATTATAGTATGTTACAAATATATTTAATTGAAAAAGTATATTTGTTCAACTCGTACTCATATTGGTATTGTTAAAAGAATGAGAATTAAAACAAAACAAATTGGCTGGAATACATTAAAATTGAAAAGATATTTAATTCTGTTATTGATTGTAGGAATTGAATAGAAAATTAATAGGAGATTAATAATGATAAAGTATACTCTTCCAATTCGAAAAATTCCACGTAGGAGAAATTGGTCTGGAATTTGTAATAAACTAACGAATGTAGAAATTGAGAGATTTCGGTAATGAGATATCAAACTATGCGTGGAACATTATTTATTTTTATTGATTTATAGTTATCGTCTCCATTAAATCGTTGTATTTTAATAATAACTGGAAATTTCGTTATTTTTTTCCTTTCTTGGCACCAATAATTTATCATGTACGCAAGCAAAAAAAATCGTATACACATTGCACATCACTTGAAGAAAATAAAAGGAAAGACATTGCGTGACAATATATAAATAAATACTTATAATTCATTTATTAATATAACAATATATCATAATAATTGTAATTTGCTTTATTTCTTCTTTTGTATGTTATTCTATATACATTTCTTCATTCACATCTATTATTATCATTCATTTAGAATTACATCAAGAATCCTTGAATCTTTCTTACCAGATTCCAGGTCACGGAACGCAAAATTGAAAGATAGAACAATAGAATTTCTTCTCCACTCGTCTACCAACTTTTTTATTTGGCGTCTTAAAATATTGTGGATGAATCCTTCTCTCTTTTATCCTCACAACATCCCAAGAATTCTCAGTTTTCATTGTTGTCGGTAAAATATTTTCATTGAAATACCTCGTCACCGAATGAAACAATATTTATTAGCGTATCCAATCTATCGACACTTGTCTGTGTATAAACACTTAGATGGATTAATATTGCAATTCTACAGAGAAATCTCAGCAAATATCTCAGGATTATGGAGTATGTTGAAGATGTGTCTTATTATTTCTTAAGTATACAACGAATAAACGGGAGCTCGATCAAAGCATCGATGAAAATTCACCGTTAACACCGTCAGACGTCGTTGGACGCAACTGTCGTTCCCCATCACGGTCACGATTTCCCAATATCGATGCAAATTTTTTTTGCACGCCATGCAACCATTCAACGAGA